AAACGGATGATTTCTGATCAACTTTAAACTTCTTGATAAGATCCCTTGTATACTTGGCTTGATTGATGAGAGTGCCTTCACTTCTCTGTTTGATTTGAAGGCCAAGGAAGTAGTTGAGTTCCCCCATCATGCTCATCTCAAATTTTCCTTGCATGAGGGTTGAGAACTTGGTGCATAGATCTTCCTTAGTTGAGCCAAATATGATGTCGTCCACATAGATCTGAACTAATAGGAGATCTTCTCCATCTCGTAGTATGAACAATGTCTTGTCAATTACTCCTTTGGTAAATCCATTGTCTATAAGAAATTGAGACAATGTATCATACCAAGCTCTTGGTGCTTGTTTGAGTCCATACAGCGCCTTTTTGAGTCTATACACTTGATCTCCCTTGGTGTAACTCAAATCCTGGAGGTTGTTCTACATACACTTCTTCCTCTAGTTTTCCGTTGAGAAATGCGCTTTTGACGTCCATTTGATAGACTTTGAAGTCCTTATGAGTAGCAAAGGCTAGAAACAGCCTTATAGCTTCAAGTCTAGCAATTGGAGCGAAGGTTTCATCAAAATCTATACCTTCTTCTTGACAGTATCCTTTTGCAACTAACCGGGCCTTGTTTCTGACAACAACGCCGTTTTCATCCATCTTGTGTGGGAAGACCCACTTTGTCCCAATGACATGTTGATGAGTAGGTCTGGGAACAAGTTTCCAGACATCATTTCTGGAAAACTGGGTGAGTTCTTCTTGCATTGCATTGATCCAATCAGAATCAGCTAGAGCTTCTTCAATATTCTTTGGTTCTACTTGTGAGATGAAACAAGCAAGCATAGCTTTTAGATTCTGTTGGGCACTCCTTGTGCGAACACCAGATTGAATATCTCCGATGATCTGTTGAGGAGGATGATTCCTTAACCAACGAAGATTGTGTTGATTGGGATTGACTGGTTGATTTAGTTCAGCTTCTGGTTGAAGAACAGAAGTTGTTGGTGTTTCCGGATGGATTTGCACTAGGTCGCCATTTCCAGAATTATCGTCGTTTGAGAGATCCGGAATATTGGAAGGCTGGCCAAAATTTCCGGAGGGCTCAGCACTGTCTGAGTCCGGATTTCTCTGTGAAGTCTTCAGAGGCAGACTTCTGAATGGAATGAACTCCGTGGGCTTCATTCTATCTCCTTTATTGACTTCTTCATCCTTGTCTGATAGATCCAGAACCTCATGGTCATGCTTTGATGGCTTGTCAACCACATGTTTTTCGTCAAAAATAACATGTATTGACTCTTCCGTGATCATGGTTCTTTTGTTGAAAACTCTGAATGCCTTGCTCAACATAGAGTATCCAAGGAAGATGGCTTCATCTGATTTTTCATCAAAAGTGTTCAGAGGATTTTTCCCGTTGTTTAACACAAAGCACTTGCTCCCAAAAATATGGAAATATGATATATTAGGCTTTCTCCCGTTCCACAGTTCATAGGGAGTTTTGTTGTGCCTTTTATAAATCATACTCCTATTTTGAGTATAGCAGGCTGTGTTAACAGCTTCAGCCCAGAACCTCTTTGGTAAGGAAGCTTCTGCTAGCATGGTTCTCACTGCTTCCTTCAGGGTTCTGTTCCTTCTTTCAGCTACACCATTCTGTTGAGGTGTCCTTGCTGCGGATGTCTGATGAAGAATTNCCACCTATCCTCATGGTTGGACTTCTCAACTTTGCGCTCCATGCAGACGAGGGCTTCTTCATCCGAGCTTGAGCTGGATGACTCGTCACTTTCAGCAGCAACCATTGCTTTCTTTTTCTTCTCGATCCTTTCTCTTTCTCCGTACTTCTCCACTTTTGGGTACGGGCATGCTGACTTCCAGTGGCCAGGCTTCCTGCAGTTATAACATAAATAAGATTCAGGAGGGGAGTCACTTACCTGTGGCTTTCCCTTGGATGGCCTTCTGATTGAATCAGCCTTCTTGAAGAACTTCTTGAACTTCCGGAATTGTTTGACCATCATGGCAAAATCCTCTTCGTAGTTCTCCATTTTTGAGCTTGACGGCTGGCTAGAGGAAGGTGTGTCACAGTTTCTTGTGCATGTCCCTTCACTTGATGGAATTCTTGAAGTTGTCATCAATGCCGTGGGGAAGGGAGTGACTTGTTCTTCCTTCTTCTTTTTCAGCTCGTGCTCATAGGTTTTGAGTTCATCAAGGAGACCTTGAACAGTGTATGGCCTTGCGATGCACTGGCAGTTGCTTTTGTTTCTGGATTTCATTCACTGCCCATTTTGGAAGAAGTCATAATGAATGATTTTTCATGATTTAAACCTTCCAATCATGCTGGCTTTAAGTGGGTTCAAAAGCACCAGAACAAGGCCGTGTTTTTTTGAGCAACCTTGAGAAGTTTTTTTTACTTTCTTATGTAATCTAGGAATTGATTTTTTCAAAAATAGCATTTGAAACCAGAATTTTTAGAAGAAGTATTGAATCTTGTTGCCTAAAATTAAATCTGTCTATGGGTTTAAACTTTTACTTCAAGTTTAATACTTCTAAAATAATTCAAGTTGGTGGTCCCAAAGTGGTGAAATACAAAGTCTAGAGGGGGGGGGGGTGAATAGACTTTGTTACAGATTTAAAATCTTTTTCGTTTCTTTTGAAAACGTGAAAATGAGTGTTAATCTAGAGTCCTTGTGAACTTTAGATTGTGTGCGGAATTTTGGTGGGTAGAGTGAGTAGTAATCAATATGGATAGGTTAGTTTTCACGGTTAATATAATTGCAAGTAAGAATAAAGATAAGAGAGAGAGACACACAAACTTTAACGAGGTTCGAAGGTGGGGTAATCCTTCTACGTCCTCAAAATCCACTATGTAGTTGGTTGTTGAATAATGAACCAACAATTACACTTGTGTGAATTTCTGCACGGTATATCTTCACAAAACCAATGTTGCTACTGCACTCGTGCTGGCTTTGTTGTTCCTTCGAAGGTCAAGCTTCTTCAACAACTGCAAGGTCCGAACAATAGGACTTGCAAGATCAACTTGTAAGAGAGTTGACCTACCCCCTTTTAATCAATAAGTTTGATCAAAAGTAATATCCTTCAACGTGGTGTGGTGCTTGAGGCAAGGAAACCTTCAAGTGTTTACACTATAGCTCTTTGGAAGGAGGA